GTGTCAAAAACGACACCTCGGCCATTCAAGGTAAAACCTCAAATATCAGCTGAATATTTTTTAAAGAATTAAGTCTGTTAAGCATCTTTGCTAAAATTCAATAATTTTCCATAAGCCTCAGCGTCGAACCAAAACTAGTTATTCCATAGAAATTTGTTGAAAATTTGAAGGTGTCGAAAACGACACCTCGGCCATCCTAGTGTTAAACAAATGGCTTTATCGTTTTATTTGAGGGGCATTGACTAAAAACAAGACCTGTCAAAGGCTGGATGGGATTTTTATAGGAGCCACAGGAAAACATAAAAAAGATAGGAATGTTTTTTTTTGTTTTTTTTATTAATCTGAAAAACATTTATTATATAATCATTATTTTTAATCGATACTCGTATTTGAGCAGAGTCCGTTTATTTATTAAACAGTATATTTATTTCATAAGATTTCTCGAAGAGTGAGAACCTATAGCTGGCTGCCACGGATAGGCAGGAAGATTCTATTGGCCAGCGTGAGAGCCAACAGCTGACTGACACGAATGTTAACTAGCATGCTAAAAAAAAAAAATCGATAGCTGCATTCGTCACAAGTGGGAAAAATTTAAATCCAATTGGCTCATTCGCTTGCTTAAACTCAACGTTGATTCTGATTCTGCAGAACTGGGTTGGGTGTGAAAAAAGTATTTGTTGTTAACATTCTTTTTTCATTCGGTTTTCCAGTTACGAGTCCTTTTTAAAGCTGATCATTTTGTGTTCATTTTGTTTAGTTCTTTTTTTTTCGTAACAGATTTAATGTTTAGTATAGAGCTTAGAAAAAATTCGCAGTGTGAGATAGGCAAGAAGTAAGGCATGTAGCAACATCAGCACGGCAAAGGGCACTCCTTTAAAAAAAGCAAGGAAGGGCAAAAATATTTTAAGTCAAGTGATAGTGATTGCTGTTTGAGTCGTACGATTTTTGAATCAAGCACGGGCAACGCCGGGCCATGCTGCTAGTAAATAAATAAATAAATAAATCCTTTACTTTCGTTAGAAATTGCTTTGTCTACCTTAATCCTAATCTAAAACTGAGCAGATATGGTTTTTTGGTTTTTTTTTTTTCGAGAGTCGGAGAAAAATCTGTGTTTAAAGGTACTTGTCAAATTTTGCTTGGCCATCGACGCGCTCTGTAGTGGTGAGGTCAAAGTTCATCAGATCTAAACCTTGCCATTAGGGAAACACAGGTTCGAATCCTGGTGGAGAGCCCATGTTTTTGTACTTTCTCGAATATTCAGGCCGGTAGATAAAAATAATTACCTTTAATAAATAAACAGAGCATCTGCTCAAATACGAGTATCAGCTAAAAATAACGTTTAAGTCATATATAAGCTAGAATGGAGACTGAAGCCTTGAATGGCAACCATTCTAGATATGGTGTCACGATTAAAAAAAAATCGTTGGACTTGGATTACCCTGAGTGGACTTTAGAAAAAGCAATTGGTCTTGTAAAACCTTGCCCCTAATCATTGACACATCCTTTGTCAAGCAAGGGCCCGCCTTGCTTTTTCGAAGTCCTGCCTCAACAACATAAATAACATGTACATTTTGAAACGAAAAATTTACACATTATTCAAGGAGCAAACGCAGAGGTGCGTTCAAATGAAACAAGCGTCGACCAGAGCTTCCTTTGACATATACATAGATATTGGATGCCTGACAGGGCGTCCATGAAACATATTGGACAAGATCATTTTTAAGAGGGAAGGACAATGATTTCATTGATTTATCTTTTTTACGGCTTATCAAAACTCTATGGTTTATTTAAAGCCGAAACATTTTGAGTGGCCATTACATTAATATATTTTATGGCCGTAACAATCTTTTTTTTTTCGAGATACAATATCTATTTAATCCATAGCTAGAGAGAGAAGAAATAGATTTATACTTTTCTCAATGGTATTTGCGCGCAGGTGAATGTTATGAACTCGGCTGGAATTCGAACTCAGCTCTCCGACTTCTCATTTCGCGTCGCTATCCATTGCGCCAAAGAAAAAAAAAGAAGAAGACAGGTTGTGTCTGTGAACGACGAGGATATGAAAGATGACGACGACGGCTACTCTGCTGGCAATGTCGATGAAACTGTCATGGCATCGACCTTTGACAAGGACAGCAACGAACCAGACAAAAATCTGCCTAATAACTGTGTGAATGAGAATATTAATGCAATGTTTGTCTACCTATTCTAGTTAAATCATCCGCAATATGGCGTCGGGTGTAGTGGTCATTGAAGGGTAATGATTAAATAATGTCTTTTTTTAAAGGCAATTCTCCCCAAGCAAGGCAGGAGTGCCACTAGCAAACAAGGGGTTACAGAGGATTGAGAACAAGAGTTAAGAGGCGTGTTTGAGGAAAGGATATAGAGAAGGACAGGGAACAAGCTCAGGGAGTCAAATTTCGATTGACATTACACTTGAATATTTGAAGATTATAGTCATCGAGGAAGCAAATAAGAGGAAGGGAGTTTCACAGACGGGAAGTGCGGGAGAAGTAGATATTTGAGAGGAAGAGACGGTTACATGTAACCGTTTTGACAGTGAAAGGGTGGGACCGAGATACCAGCTTGGTAGCTCGTTTAAATTCGTGTAGTCCGGGAACCAGTGAAAGTAGTGCACCGGTCTTCATACGTATCTTAAAAAAGACACGGTTGTTAGCAAAAATGATGATCCCAAATTACAAAATGGAGTTAGCAATTGTTGAGATGCTGAGTGTTTCCGCGTGCGTGTATAGAAATAAGGACAAACACATACGTAGGGAAAAATACTGGTATATCTGAAGAGGTATTTACAATAGAGAGATTAGTAGTCAAACGAACGCAGGTTAGTCAGTAACAACCAGAAAGAGTATAAAATCCAACTGTAACTTCCGGTAGTGAGACGGAAGTGTGATGGTCACCTGATCTTCCCAGAACTCTATAGAACTGTCCTATTAGTAGTAGAGAGTTCAGTCCATTTTGATAAGAAGGTGGGTGCGCCCCAACACCAATATAAAAAAAAAGTACACAAATTTAAATATCTACGAGGTCTTAACAAAGGACAGGAAGTGTGACACTGAAATCTGTAGGTGTACTGGGATAGCTAAAGATGTATTCCAAAAGTTAAACAGTACTAAAAATTAAACAAATATTTATACGTTATATGTCCTTCTAAATGGCAGTGAGTGCTAAACAATCAGCTCAAAAATGAAGAAGAGACTCGATTGTGGTTCTATAGAAAGAATGGTGGGGATATCAGACCGAACATGTATGAAACGACGAAGTTTTAAAGGAAATGGAAGCAAAAAGGAAGCTTAACACCAGGAAAAGACAGCTGAGGCTTCTTGAGGAAAGAAGGCTTGGAAAATCTGATACTCACAGGACAGATTGAGGGCAAGAGGGACAGAGGAAAACAACGCATCGCATAGTGAGCTTAAGTAAATGGATTGAGCAACAGGATTTCGATCTATCTATCTATCTATCTATCTATCTATCTATCTATCTTTATTTATCTCTGCCAATTAATATCTATCTATCTATCTATCTAATTCTGTTATTATCTATCTGCTTATATATTTATGTGTCTATTTAATCCCATTCACTATCTATTGCAGTTTCTTCATGTATGCATCTATCTATACATCTGTATGTCCGTCTGTCTGTTTCAATTCATATCTATCTATCTATCTATCTATCTATCTATCTATCTATCTCTTACAGTCTTTTCTTTTGTATATATCCGTCAGTACATCTGTATCTATCACAATGAGCTTAACTTTTTCTGCCTATCTATCTATCTATCTATCTATCTATCTATCTATCTATCTATCTATCTATCTATCTATCATAGTTTCTTATCTATCTATCTATCTATCTATCTATCTATCGTTGAAAGACCTGTTCTTGTACGGTCACCGAAGTGAAGCAACATCAAGCCGGGTCAGTATCTAGATGGGTGACTGCTTGGGAATACCAAATGCTGTATGAGGTTGGTTTAATGGATAACGGCTCGAAAATAGAAATCAGAGGGCCGGGTTCCAATTCCAGTCGGATTCGTTAAATTCACTTACGCACATATATCCTGGTACCCCCTGGCATGGGTTAATTATTAAGACTTGTATCGGTAAATAATTATCAGCTACAGAGAATTTTTATAATTTAATTTTTTTTTTATGTTTTAAATAACACGCAAAAGTTGATAAACCGTAAAAAATATATCAGTCTTGAGAACAACTCAGTAACTGACTCCGGCGTGGATGCTTACCTGAATGATATAATCTTAAACACTTCCCGTCTAGAGACGATCTTTATCTGTCTTCCCGATACTAATAATCGTTCCTTCATACTTTTCTCCTCTTACGTCTATAACACACACCTAATCGGTATTAATCCTCTGCCTTGAATTGCTCTCTGGCCTCGTTAACGTTGGTAAAAAAAAAAAACTACTGTTAATTATTAAGCATAAACAGATTATTACAACATCATCAACCACTAATTCTCTCTCTCACTAATACACACACACACACACACACACATATATATATATATTATTTTAAACGTTATTTTTAGTCGATACTCGTATTTATTTTAACCATTATATATTTATTTTCGCCAAGCTTTCCGAATATTCGAGAAATCATATTAAAGAAAAATATGTGCCTCCGTCTGTCTGCCTATCTATCTATCTATCTATCTATCTATCTATCTATCTATCTTACTTTTTTCTTTCTTACTTTCTTTCTTTCTTTCTAAATCTATTTCTTACTTTCTATCTATCTATCTATCTATCTATCTATCTATCTATCTATCTCTATTTCTTTCTTTTTTTTTCTTTCTTTCTTTCTTTCTTTCTAACTCTATTTCTATCTATCTATCTATCTATCTATCTATCTATCTATATTTCTTACTTTTTCTTTCTTACTTTCTTTCTTTCTAAATCTATTTCTTTCTTTCTATCTATCTATTTCTATTTCTTTCTTTTTTCTTTCTTTCTTTCTTTCTAACTCTATTTCTATCTATCTATCTATCTATCTATCTATCTATCTATCTATCTATCTATCTAAATCTATTTCTTTCTTTTTTCTATCTATCTATCTATCTATCTATCTATCTATCTATCTATGTCTCATGGCTAGCCATGTAGCGAGTATTCCCTCAGACACGTTACTTAAATGCATGTGACAATGTATTTGCTTATTTTTCTTACTTTTTCCAGTTAACGGATAATATATATATATATATATATATATATATATATATATATATATATATATATATATATATACATGTCATTCATACAGAAATATCTTTTCGCTACACATTCTTTATGAATGCATTCCATTATGCACGTAAGTAGGCTCAGGCTCTACAGATTGATAACTTGCCAATATTAAAAATAAAAACAAACAAAAAAAATACAAAACAAAAAACTCTCAACATATTTAGAGAGAAGAAGAATAAACGTTCAGTTCTTATTTTTAGATGCATAAGACAATTATGCAGGCAAACGTATCGCTGTGAATATATACCTATATATTAGCATGCAAGAATGTGTTTTGTTCTATGTCGAAAAAAAAAAGGACAAAATTAAAAAAATAAAAAAAAATAGACATGATATTGTCACCATGTCAACAAATATATGTCACGTGTCCTTGGGCTAGCTATGTTGATGAGTCAGCTGCTATGAAAACCTGTCGCGACCTGCCAGGCAGGTTCTTTTCAATTCGTCTGTTTTATTTCCAGCAACGGCCTTCTTCGCTTACAAACTCTGTGCTTTTTGTTTTTAACCTGTTTTCGTCTTTCTCCTACGCGATTCTCATTCTTGAATGTTGATTCAGACTTTCTATTCATCGTCCCATTCACACTGACCCAGTCACCGAGCGGGACGTGTATTTTCACCTATCGCTTATGAGCGGGTGTTCTCTCCATGCCCTGGACGTCTATTGAGACTTAAAATCAACTTAAGCAGACGTTGTACATACGTATTTAATTTTGTTCTAAGAGGTGAATTATTATTTTTTAACTATAAGGTTAGAGGTTTTAAATTTTTCCTAATAAATAATTAATCTAATTTTTTTTTGCTATTGTCATCACTAAAAATATTGGATAAAAAATGACTGCTTCCTTGAGTATTCACCAACTTTTATTCAATCTTGTATTCTTGAACTGACTTTATTTTCCGACCTATTGTCTTTCGTTGGACCGTAAATCTTCATCAGCGATCTTTCTAGAAACTTCATAATTCCATCCTTATCTATATATTTTTTTATCTATCTCAGCAAAGAATTAATCTAGCTACAATTTATATTGAAGAAGAAACAAAAACTAGATTAAATAGAGACCCAAGCAAGGCAATGAAGCCACTAAGACGCAAGGAGGTTACTTGTTTGTGAGAGAACAATTACTTGCCAACTTGTTAAAAAAAAACAAAACACAGGCGATGTTGTTTTTTGTGTTTATTTATTTTTACTAAATATTCATTCAATATATATATATATATATATATATATGTGTGTGTGTGTGTGTGTGTGTGTGTTTGTCTTTTCCCTGATTTGAGGCATGTTCCTCTTTTTTCCTCTTCTTTTTTTTTAATTTTAAATTAAACAAACTTTTTTGTTTGTTTAATTTAAAATTAAAAAACTAAATTCATTTTTTTTTTATTGATTTTTAATGATTCTCAGCTGTCTCTTTTTGATTTTGAAAAAATGTGTTCGTTTTGTTGCCATTTTTCAAATACTTTCTTGTTGCTTACTCGACCCGTCCATAGAATTCTCACTATCCTTCTGTAGACCTACATTTCTGTTGCTTCCATTTTTTCTCCTCATCCGCAAAGAGATTGTCCAGCATTCAATTTTTAGTATTAACAAGCTCCAGGGAATTTATCCTGACGAGCGAAATGGCCATATAAATGAGGTACAATTGAGTTTCATATATATATATATATATATATATATATATATATATCCGATCTCATATATGGTCAGGTCCTGTTTGTATATAGCTTCAGTTCTCTATTTTCGGTCTGATCTAATTGAGTTTCTTTTTTCCAGGTTTTCAGATGAGACATTTAGCCATCTTGACACAATTTGTCGTAATAATTACTGCGAAGTCCTTTGAGTTATTCTGCTAGAAAGAGAAAAACGTTTTGTGTCAGCCCCACTATGTCTTCACAACTGAGCAATGCTGAGAGGAAAAAGATTTTTCCGGCCATCAGTGATGGTACCAAAATTCATACTCAGGCTTCCATCTTGAAAGTCCATTCAAGAACCATCAAGAGAACGATGCATAAGTTTACAAAAGAGGGAACAGTAGAGAGGAAAACTGGATCAGGATGTCACAACAGGAAGAGGGATCATTATTTCAATTCAAAGCTAAAGAGATCAATTAGAAAAGATCCAACTCAATCCATATCACAGGAGTTTCAGCTATGACAGGCCAAAGAGCAGTGAAAAAAGACCTAAAAATGAAATCGTACGTGAAACGTGGGAGGCACCTTATCACTCCAGGACAGAAAGCTAAAAGTTTAGAGAGGGCGAAGATCATCTTGAATATGTTGGAAAATGATCCTATAATATATATATATATATATATATATATATATATATATATATATATATATATATTTGAACTTTTATTTCAATCCTTCATGATTAATTAATCCTTAGCTAAGATTATATAATGATGGACATGTCATTTTTTTGTTTAGGATCGATTCCATAACGATTCTTCAGTTAAGCTTGGAGAGTAATTATACATTTTTATTGCTCAAAGTAGAGTCCAATAGTGTTATAAAAGCATCAGAGAATTCCAGTAAGATATATTTAATCATTTTCAAGATAAAACGATTCAAAACTTAATGGCCTTGTCGAATCAAAATGAAATACGGGTTCAAGTCAAGTTGATGACGCCTACTTTATTCGCATCTGACGTTGCCTACAGAAAACGTAACTCAAGCGGCACTTAGAATGCTTATTTATAAGGAAATCGCTATTTCCATTGACTTTAGAAATCAGGGGAGCAGATACTACGCTTTGATCCAATCCCGGTGACCAAGAAGTGAACATAAATGTAATTCGATTAGCACTTGGCATCACGTTCAATGAATAGTAAATGTTTCCTTATACGGAAACGGCTAATATTACCCTTACTATTAGAAATGAGGAGAACAGACACTACACTTTGATCCTATCGAAATCTTTACAATTAAACAATTATGCTGTTACACTCGGTATAGGATAGATCACGGTTCGGCCTAGACTTGCAGATGTTGAGATTGTACAGTTCGGGGAAAGTATCCCTCAAGGAGTGTGTTCCACAAAGTAGCTGTTCTTGGGAGGAAGCTGAGTGGAACCTCCTTCTTGTCAATGGAATACAAAGGAGGGGGAGGACTATTCGACTCTGTGTGTGCGGCATGGTGGATTGGGTTCGACTTGCAAAGGTCTGAATTTGTAGACGTATGGGATGTAGCTGGTCTGAACATTTGCCATAGAAATAACGATAGATTAACGAAAGTTGATGTTTCGCTCTGTGGTGAAAAGGGCTGTAGTGCTGAAGATTAGTTTTTTACGGCTTATCAACCCATTGCAGCATTTTAAAGCTAGAAAATATTTTTAGATATTTTTTTTTGCATATGATAAATGACTTACTGATAAAAATCCTACTTCTTAGCTGGAGGGAAAAGAGGTGGATTAATTCTAGTTTTATCCACTGGATCATTGGAGAGTTAAGGAGAGTTAAAGGGATTTAACTGAAGCTGAGATATCCAGAAAAGGCCTGGCACGTGGAACGAGAACAATATATATATATATATCAAGGTCTTCAACTAAACTGTTGCGTAATTTCAGTCCTTTCTACGTGATTCCTTTCTTTCCACGGGTATTTGTCTGAAAGGTAATGCAACGAATTTGACTCAGCTTGCCGAGTTATCGTTTGAGTCGTTAACCATTACACTATCAGAACATCCATCATTTAATGTTAATATATATATATATATATATATATATATATATATATATATATATATATATATATATATATATAATATTAGTGGTAAATATACATACATATGCAAAATATATATATATATATATATATAGGTGCATACACATATATGTATATTTTTTAATAAAAAATTCAAGAGGATAGAATCCAGGTAGAACTCAATGTCCAGGACAGAGTAAGGATATAATAAAAGGCTTAAACACTAATATTCCATGGTCATAATTTATTCCATTGGAATCGTAAATACGATCCAAATCATCAGACCTACAAATTCAAAAAAGAAAACAGAAAAACAACTCCGGAAATAAAATTTGTACGTCTGATGAATTGGATCGTATTTACGATTCCAATGGAATAAATTATGACCATGGAATATTAGTGTTTAAAACTTTTTATTATATATATATATATATATATATATATATATATATATTTCTCGAGTGCACAGGCCGATAGTTGTAATACACTCAGTTTAACATGAAAACATGACGTTTAAAAATTAAAGTTTTTATATAGCATTTGAAATAAGAAATAACTTTTTAATTTAAACATTTTTTTTTTAAATAACTTTTGGAATTAAAAAAAAAAGTTTGCCTCAGTTTGTATATAGGCATATAATTCCTTATTTTCTGGGTGTGGAGACTTCCCACTCTTTCTCATTCTCCCTAATTATCTTCCTTTTATATACATTTATGCACGTATCACTATCTTCCGACAATCGATAATTATCATAATAAAAAAAGTAAGATATGTATGCGTGCAGATATATAGAAAGATAGACCGATAAATCAGCTATTAGAAAGTTTATCAAGATAATCGTGTTGACTAGATTGGCAATTCTGTGACACGTGTTTAACAAAACATTACTTTAAAATGATGATATATAATTCTTGGCCTAAAATTATGTAGCTTATGTTAGTCTGGCACAAGGCTAAAATAAGGGAGCACTTAAAAATTGCTAAGCTAATGATTATCATGCGATATGAACTATTACTTTAGGTCA